AGGAGAGGCTGGTTGACCTTCAAGCCCTTTCTAGACTCTGCCAAAACTCAAGTTATCACAGCCCTGGGAAGGGACTAATCATGGGAGGCAGGGCCTGGAGCTGGTAGGCAGAGATGCTGCCAGCCCTGAGTGCTGTGAATCTCAGAAGCTTCTTTCAAGCATGCCCCCAAACCAGCAGATACCTGGCTGGGCCCTAGGCTGCCCCTTATAAGGAGTCCAGGATTCTGTAGGAAGGGAACTGTGGCTTGAGACGGAAGAAAGGTAGGACACCTTCTGGAAGGTAAATCTATGCTCCTTCACACTTGTTCTCCAAGTTAAGGCTCTTTCATGCTGTGTGGCCTCAAGTGCAGCAGTGTGGCTTTGGTCTGGTGTGGTGGGGGCTGGGGCTTCAACAGGGAGGCCACTCCAGGACTGAGAAGTGGGTTGCTGATTGGCTCACACAAGACCTATCCAATGCTCCCATTGCAACAGGCCTGGCTGCTCCCCATCAGCCCAGTCAGGTGCTTTTGGGGGAGCTGTCTTCTGCAGAATGGTCATGATGGTGGATAGGGAAAGGAAACAGAAAAGACAGGCCCCTGGATATAGTTTAAATTTTTGTCTAGCTAGATAAAATATCAACCCAGATGCAAAGCCCAATGAACAAGTAAGTATATGCAGAGAAATTTGCACAAAATCCCTGCCCATCTGCACTTGCCCCTTGATTGTCGTTATTTTCTTCCTTTCCTTTCCTTTCCTTTCCTTTCCTTTCCTTTCCTTTCCTTTCCTTTCCTTTCCTTTCCTTTCCTTTCCCTTCCCTTTCCTTTCCTTCCTTTCCCTTCCCTTTCCTTTCCTTTCCTTCCCTTCCCTTCCCTTCCCTTCCCTTCCCTTCCCTTCCCTTCCCTTCCCTTCCCTTCCCTTCCCTTCCCTTCCCTTCCCTTCCCTTCCCTTCCCTTCCCCTCCCTTCCCTTTCCCTTCCCCTCCCTTCCCTCCCCTTCCCCTCCCTTCCCCTCCCTTCCCTTCCCTTCCCTTCCCTTCCCTTCCCTTCCCCTCCCTTCCCTTCCCTTCCCTTCCCTTCCCTTCCCTTCCCTTCCCTTCCCTTCCCTTCCCTTCCCTTCCCTTCCCTTCCCTTCCCTTCCCTTCCCTTCCCTTCCCTTCCCTTCCCTTCCTTCTCTTTTCTTTTTTCTTCTTTTCCCAGACAGAGTTTTCTTTGTGAAGGGACCAGGTGAGCAGGGAAAATCGAAGGGGAATGCACCTCTTGAGAAAAAGCCAGGAAGTGGGGTGCCTCTTGAAAGGAGAGAAGTAGAGACACCAAAGATTTGAGGAAGGGTCTTGGAATTTTAACTATTCCCTGACTCATCCTTGTTGGATGGGAATCTACAGCTAAATGGTTCCCCATTGGTGGTCTCTTAACCAGTTAGGAAATGGGTGGACAATACTTATGCTACCCACTTGAATCTCTTGGAATCTCACATCCTACTTCTGTAGGGGTAAAGGGTGAAGACGTCGTTGAGCTACTTCCTGCTGAAATGGGTGTCACTTGGGTAAAGAACCTCTGGAGGTGTGGGATCCACAGAGCTATAGTCTGGGTCATTCAAGTTGCTATGATAGAAGTTGGTTGTCATACAAGGTTTCATGTTTGGGTCATCTGGAGTCTGAAGACCACTTGGAAAGTCTTGTCTCAGTTGAATTGAGCCACATGTCTGCAGTCTAGGTCTTTGGCACACCCAATGTTTGGTATCAGGAAAAATGTGTTACCAGAAAAGCTCAGTGGGTTCTTTCCTCAGCTTAATATAGAAATAAAAAGCTGGTTACCAGTTGAAGACATGGACCAGGTGAGCAAGGAAAGAAGAGGAAGAGGAAAGCACCTCCCAAGATAAAAAGCCGGGAAATAGGGCGCCTCTTGAAAGGAGAGAAGGAGAGATGCCCCATTGCTTTTCTTAATTTGCGCTGTGGTTACTTTGAAAGAAACAAATCCATCTTCCTTCCCCCTGCCCTCCTTTATCTGGGAGCGGACAGCCTGCTACAGTATTCTTTTTTGCTTCCTTCCTGTGACAGTGTCTCCTGGAGGAGGGGGAAGTTTGCTTTCAACTTCCTGCTCCACCTAATGGCTGACGTGTGGCTCTGCAGTTTTTGTCTATGGGTGGACTGGCTTGTTGCCAATCCTCAGAAAAGCAGGCTGCAGGGACAGCACCCCCTGCACAGGCATCAGGCACGCTTGCTGGGCTGTCTGTTGATTCTCTTGTTGTCTCCCGTCAGTGACCTCTCCTGTGGGTTGGGTGTGAGCTCTATGTCCTCCTCGGCAACAAGCCCAGACCTCTACCTTCCTCCCAACTCTACTAACTCTCTGCATTTCACGTATTTGTTGTTTCCAAAGAGGCCTAGCAAAATAGGGTGTTATCGAAGGTATTCCTGGTGCATGTGGCACAACTTGGGACCAGCAGGGCAGGGACACAGTCAGAGTTGACATATGTCAAGACACCTTGGGAGAGAAAGCTGACTGGCTTAATAGAGAATGTCTTTCTCTTTCAATTCATGGCACTCGGAGACTGCTCTAGGCTTTCCTGTGGAGAGGGTGGAGAGGGATGACTGCCTTGTGCTTTCAAGCTTAGTCTAGAAGATTCTGGAGAATTCACGCAGCTGCTGCTCTCCCTCCATACCTCACAATCAGGTCAGGAGAGTGCTAATGTCTGTGGGCCACGGTGACAGAACAGCATGTGCAACCAGAGCCAGTTGCATGTGGCTGGTGTTCCTCTTGGTTGGAGGGAGAGCAGTTGGAGGAAGCGGGGGAGAAAGGTGGCAGTGCTGTGTGTGTGTAATGCATGCATCCCTGCCTGAAGCTAGAACCTTAGGCAGAACATTCCAGAATCTCCCACTGGACTAAACTGCTTAGGAAGAAGCAGGATTTTGGTGAAGTCTCTCTGTGATGTCAGTTTATCAGAGCCCCTTCCTCATTGTGTTTCTGACACAGAAGACACTTCACTCTTGGCCAAACCTGGAGGTTGCTCAATGTGATGCTGATGGTGCTGGAGGCACCATTCTTGTATACCTTACCCAATCCCAGGGTCTATTTAGAAAATTTACAGACTCATCACATTTTACCCTCCAGCCATCTAGGTACTGCTGTTGTTCTCCCTTCAAGATCAGAAAGCTGGGTCCTAGCTCGTCTGGGACTTCCCCGAACCTCCTGCAGCTATAAAAGGGTAGAAATGAACTTATCAGTCAGTCTGACACCAGAGTGGACCTTCAAGGACTTGGCTATATTACAGTGTAGCTGAGTGAGCAGGAAACTGCTTTGTTTCCTGAAGAATGATGCAGTTTCTTTATGATTCTCAGTTTGGCCAAGTCTAAGTGTGGCTTCCAGGAGCTGCAGGGTACCCAACTGCTGTAGCTCAGGCCCCTCTCTGCGCTTTCTGCTCTGAGAATTGGCTTAGCCTGGCTGAGCCTCAAGGACTGGCCCTTACCTGCAGTGAGCAACTGACTTGTGTCCCAGAGCTGGGTGGTTTTATTACCAACTGCTGGGAATGCGAGAAGAGAACAGCCTTACGTGATGCTTTCCCGCCCCTGTCCTGAGTCAGTCACCTACTGTGGACTTCACCTCTGTGATGGATCGCTATCCAGAGGAGAGTTTCAGTAACATGCCAAAGGCGTGACTAAGCTAAATCCAGGGCTTTGGATTGATCTTTGCCCAAGGTGGGTGTGTGACTGTCCCTTCCTACCCTGCAATCCCAGGGACAGGGAATAGCTGACATGGTTTTTTGTCCACCCCCCAGGAACTCCTGAGTAGATCCATGGAATCTTTTCTTTCTTTCTTTTGGAAAGGCAGATTCACACAAAGAGAGACAGAGATCTAGAGATCCCTTATCTGTTGGTTCACTCCCAAAATGGCTGTGAAGGCCAGAGCTGAGCTGATCTAAAATTAGGAGTCAGGAGCTTTTTCTGTGTTTCCCCCGTGGATGCAAGGTTCCAGGGCCCTGGGCAACTCTCTACTGTCTTTCCAGGCTACAAGAGGGAGCTGGATGGGGAATGGAGCAGCTGGGGCATGAACTGGCACCCACATGGGGTCCTGGGCATGAAAGGTGAAGATTTAACCACTAGGCTATTGCACTGAGCCTGATCCATGGGATCTTAATTCCTCAACCTTTCCCCTTCTAGCAGTGTGGCTTTCCACAAAGTTTCAGAAATGTGGGGATATGAATCCCGTGCTGTCAGGAATGATGACTAGATTTATGTCACAGGGGTGCTTAGAAAGAAAAACATTCTCCATGTGGATGCTACATCAGGCAGTTCTTGGTATAGGCATCTAAGTGCTTGGAGAAAGATGTTTGGGGAGTGTGAGTGAGCAACATTGGGAAAGAAGCTAGGGAGGATATGGCCAGAAGTCATGGCTACCAGCATAGCAAAGGGATTCAGTGAATACCTGAAAGTTTGTAGGAGGATATACATTAAACCAACTCACCATGCTGGGACAGCTGATTACATACATTGTAGGCTGTGTCATCAGGCAAAAGAATGGGCTCCATGGGGCCATGATGGTGGCCGCACATGGTGATGGGAGATCAACACCATGTCCGTGTCTTCAGCTGTCCCTGGTCTCACCTGGGACTGTCCTTTTGTTCTAGCATTTCTATTCCACCTTCTTTTTGCTAACCATCAGTTCAGCGACTGTCTTTCTCATTTTATTTAGGTGTGTGTGTGTGCTTTTTTTTTTTTTTTTTTTTTTTTTTTTAGCACTCTCACAAGGTAGAGAAGTAAAACAAATGGCTGCACTGTCACATGAACACCATCAATCTATTGAGAATGTCACCAGAGGTGGTCAGAAGCCTGCACTGCCACTTGTCTTCTCTCAATACATTTCTTTTCAAAGGCACTAAAAGCTAAAATTTGTTGGTGTGAACATTTGTTCTCTGAAACAATTCAAATACAATCATTTCCCTTACTTCATATTTTGGATAGAATCCTAATCTAGAGGTTAGGGGAAAAAACCCATTTAACCCCCTAATGTAAGGTTGGCTGCTAATTAGTTTGGTCTCCCTCTCTTCAAGGCCACTATGTATAGGATGGACCAGAAACACAGAGGCCATTGTGTCATCATCAACAACGAGATATTTGCTGCTTCCCTGCCAAATAGGCATGGGACCCAGAAAGATGTGGGTGAGTCCGCAATAGCATAGCAAGGCGAATTGGGGATCTGAAAAACCACTTGTTTCTTTTCTCATTTTTTTCTGGTACTTTCATCTTCACATCAGTGTAATGATGCTATTATCCATGTTATTAAGCTCCTGGAGTATCACCAACCTACGCTGAGTGGCAGGAGTTCCTGCTAGTTACAGCTCTTCCACCTGCACGAGGGAGAGCATACTGGGTTGCTGGGTGTGATAAGACTTGGTTTTTGGCTCTGGCTGTGCCCTTAATAGGAGTGCCACCATGGGAGAGACACATGGTGTGGATTACACATCACAGCTGACTTTCAGGACTTTAGGGTCAGCCCTGTGGGTCCTATGAGAAATCATTGTCAGAGTTTATTGTTGTGGAAGTAGAACTAGTCCAAAGCTTCAAGCAGTTTTGATAACTATTCGCTTTGCATTATTTCTTTACCTTTTTTGTTTTACTTCATTGGCTCCTCTTTTGTCTCCTTTTCTGCCTAGAGTGCCTGACACAAGTGTTTCAGTGGCTTGAGTTTACAGTCAGCACATATAATAATAAGACAAAGGAAGCCCTAGACGCACTGCTGCAGGAGGAGAAGCGCCACCCAGACCATAAGCATGCAGACTGCTTCGTGTTCTGTGTCCTGACCCATGGCGAATTTGGAACTGTCTACTCTTCTGATGCAGTCCCCATTCCCATCCGGGACATTGTATCTCACTTCACAGCCCAGCAATGTCCTGGATTGGCTGGCAAGCCTAAACTCTTCTTCATCCAGGCCTGTCAAGGGGATGAGATACAACCTGTTGCATCCATCCAAACTGATGCTGTGAATCCTGAGTGTATAACTCCTTCCCTTCGGCAAAGCATCCCTAATGAGGCAGATTTCCTGCTTGGTCTGGCTACAGTCCCTGGGTATGCATCTGTTCGGCATGTGAAGAATGGCAGCTGGTATATACAGTCTCTCTGTGAACATTTGAAAGCCTTGGTCCCAAGGTGAGAACTCTGACTTGTTCCATTCAGCTACCTGTTTATTCATCTCTTCAACTATGTGTTTATCTATTATGCACTCATCACCTGCTTATCCACCCAACAAACTTCTGTTGAGCCCCAGTGTGGACATGGCAAGTAAAATAGGGGAATTCAAAAGAAGCAATATTTGTCCTCAAGTAACTCATAAGCTAGTGGGATAGACACACAAACAAGTATGTTGATGAAAGAGTGAAAGAGCATCCTCAGATGGTAGGCATACATTGTGAAGTGTAGGTGTTGGGAGAATAGGTGGAATGAGCACCTTGCCAAGATTTGGAGGATCAGAAGAGGGTTCTAGAGATGGAAAGGGATGTTTTGGCAAACAGTTGAGCAAAGCATGTTCTGGGCAAAGCATGAACAATGACCTGAAGAACATTTGTTCACTTATTTATAATGGCCATGTGCTGACTTAGACATAATTTTCCCATGACTCAATAACTTCACTTCTTTCTCTGTCACATTTTAAAAAGATTTATTTATTTTTATCACAAAGGTAGACATACAGAGAGAAGAAGAGACAGAGAGAAAGTCTTTCCATCTGATGGTTCACTCCACAAGTGGCTGCAATGGCCAGAGCTGAGCCAATCTAAAGTCAGGAACCAGGGGATTCTTCCTGGTTTCCCTCATGGGCGCAGGGTCCCAAGGCTTTGGGCCGTCCTCTCTTTCCCAAGCTACAAGCAGGTAGCTGGATGGGAAGTGGAGCACCCAGGACAAGACCAGGTGCCTATATAGGATACAGGTGCTTACAAGGCAAGGATTTAGCTACTGAACCATTGCACCAGGCCCTATCACATACTTTTATCTGGACCCTGAAAATGGGACTTCACCAAGATTCCTCCTAGACCTTATTCTTCACTCCTTTCCCCTTTCCCCTCTTTCTCTCTTACTCTCTCACCAAGATTCTTCCTCAAACCACCTTCCCCTTTTCTCCTTTTCCCCTTTTCTCTCTTCCTTCTGTGTTCTTGGCAGATTTGGCTGTACCTGGAGATCACTGACACTTCAATCAAACACCTCCTATATTATCATCTCCGGCTTATTTGTTTTTGAATTCCTGCAAGGTAGAGACTCTGTTTCATTCCACTTTCCACTCTCAGTATATGACACAGTATCTGGTGTATTGTTGAGCTGGATTGATGAATGACTGTTTGAGTTGACCTCAGTCATCACCTGACTCTGTTGTCTTGGGTCCTCACATCAGCTCCCTTCTTCCTGAGCTCACCTTCCCAGATCTCTCCAGGAGCTCCTACTCCTCAATCCACATTTTTAAAACTTGCTACAATTCTCTTCCATAATTCAGCATTGGAGCCAGAGTCAACTTTGCATTTGCCTCTTACTCCTTATTTTATATATATAATGTATTTTCTTTTGTAAAGATATTTACTTATTTATTTGGACAGTCATAGGAAGAGACAGAGAAAGAACTTCCATCCACTGGTTTACTTCCTGGATGGCTACAACAGCTGGCCCTGGGCCAGGCTGAAGGAAGGAGCCACGAGCTTCATTCAGGCCTCCTACCTGATTGGCAAGGGTCTGCTCTTCCCAGACCATTAGTAGGGAGTGAGCTGCGAAGTGGAGGAGCTGGGACATGGAGTGGTTCCTTATGGGATGCTGGCATTGCAGGCAACAACCTCATTTGATCAATTCCTTCATCTTCACCAGAGCCATGATTTTCATCGCTCCCTGAGCCCCAAGAGAAATAAATATTGCCAAGAATATTGTGAAAAGAGTACCCTAATATGTGGTTTGTGGGAATGTAAATTTGTATAATCATTATGGAAACAGTATGGAGATTTCTCAAAAAACTAAATCCATTGGACTCCTGGAAATATGTACTAAGCCAATGCAATCAGGATATGAAAGAGGTACTTGCATTCCTATGTTTATAGCAGCTCAATTCACAATAGCAAACATATGAAATCAATCTAGATATCCATCAATTGATTGGATATATATATATATATATATATACTTACACACATAGAATATTTCTTTTCCATAAAAAGTAATGAGGACTAGGGCCTGGTGGCGTGGCCTAGCAGCTAAAATCCTCGCCTCGTATGTGCCGGGATCCCATATGGGTGCTGGTTCTAATCCCGGCAGCTCCACTTCCCATCCAGCTCCCTGCTTGTGGCCTGGGAAAGCAGTCGAGGATGGCCCAAAGCTTTGGGATCCTGCACCCATGTGGGAGACCTGGAAGAAGTTCCTGGTTCCCTGCTTTGGATCGGTGTAGCACCAGCCATTGCAGCCACTTGGGGAGTGAATCATCCGACAGAAGATCTTCCTCTCTGTATTTCCTTCTCTCTGTACATCTGACTTTGTAATAAAAAAGAGAATAAATCGTTAAAAAAAGCAATGAGGACTCCTATGCTCCCCATTTTTAGAGCTAAGGAACCTAAGTCAGATTTGTAACCTGCTTAGATCATACAGCTAGTAAGTGATTAAGCTACAACTGCAAGTTGAGTCCTGTCTCTAGAGCTTATATTTGTTTCTGGTGGTATTACTCTACCCTAAAGTGTTCTGGCAAATGTGGTTCCTCTTCCATGGAGGAACATCCTGTCAGTCAGTAAGTTCTATCTTGAACTTGGTAATGAAACTAGACCTACTTTTTATATGGTGTTGATCATAGTCTGTATTGTGAATATTGTGTACCTGCCACCATTGGTCAGACTCCATTCTAAGTGTTGAAATGTGTCATGCAGCCCTGTGTATCCATCCTTGAACCAAGAATGGAAGAGACAGTATCAGTGCACTGTGGTATCTACCACACATCTATGCAGCCCTGGCATGTGGTCTCTTTCTAAAATCTGATGTGTGACTTTCTCTTGGTTATTGAAACATATTTCTCTCTCTCTGTCCACAGAGGTGAAGACATCCTATCCATCCTCACGGCGGTTAATAATGATGTGAGTCAACAAAAGGACAGAAGTGGGAAAATGAGACAGATGCCCCAGCCTGCTTTCACACTAAGGAAGCGACTAGTATTTCCTGTGCCACAGGAGCAGCCTTCATCATAGAAGGGAATTTGATGGAATAATAGGCTTGAAAGGAACCTTTGATCACATCCTCTTTCCTCCCATCCTGCATGGGAACCTGTGACAGATGATGAGCTGGTCTCCATCTGTCCTCTATTTTTTCAATACATCAATTCTGACCTTTTTTTGAAAATACTATTTTTGATAAGTCTGAACATTAGACACTTTTCCTTATTGAAGACATAGGTCGTATGTAGCTTTAATTGTGTAACTTGAATAGAATAATTGGTTGTGGTTTGTGAATCTGAGATACTCAGTAGAATTAGGTTTGGTTCAAACTTCTCTTGAACCCAAGGAACCACTGTTCTTAACAGACTGTTCAGCTGCTCCAGTAACAGAAACTGCAGGTTACTGTCAACATCTGTGTTGACTAGAAGCTTTCAAGTGTTGCTGACAGAACACCTAACTCAAACTAAGTGAAACGAATTTAAACCCACCAATGAAGAAAACTGGCTTCAGGCAAGACTCAGTGTACAGAGAAGCACCTTTCTCTTCCCTGAGTATCCTCAGATTTTGCAATTGCACTGTAATCAACAGCCTTCACCTTGCACTACACACTCTACTGCTCTGGCCTGACAGACAGGCAGAGAGTCCATCTCAGGGATCAGAGCTGTTTATTGGGTTGTTATCATGGGGTTGTCCTTGGTCGGAGAGATACTAGGCACTGGATTAAGGAAGCAGCTTCATTTTGAAACATTGATACCTTGAGAATAAGATTTTGGATTTTTTTTGTTCTTAATTTTTTTTCTTTTTCAGTTTCAAGAGAAAGTTTTCTTTGTATTTCCTGGAATCATATTTTAAAGTAGACCTGGGAGGGAGATTGAAAGTTCTGTGGTTAAATGATTTATAGATAAGGAAGCTGAGCCTAAGGAGCTATAACAACTTACAGTTACCTGCTGTCATGGCTTATTGACTTTATTTCCCATGAAAGTGAACTGTAATGATATAGGCTATCATACGATATTATGAACATTTCTTTGCACATGCAACTACTCATAAGAAATGCTAAGAAATGCAGGAAAATATCTTTCGAGAGTGCCTTGATAAATATGTGAAAGTTAAATGCATCTATAATGGGTTTTCCATGAGTAGTTTTTATACTACTTTTCTCGGGTAGCTAGCATTGCATGACTTTGAATGCCACTTGACTGAAGAACTATGTTTAATTTACATGTTAGGATGGTCTTCCCAAAGCATTTTTTTCATACAGCAAAGGCTAAAAGCTGGTGATAAGAGTCTCTGGCCAGGTGGATATGTGTAGCCTTTGGCCACTTAACAGTCGTTCTCTGCAAGTGATGGATGGCATGACACAAAAGAAAGAACCAAGGACACGGAACAAAGCCTTGATATTTATTTTGTCCTGCACGTCCCTTTCTCTGAGACACTAATTCAATCCAGCCAACTTTTGGAGCCTCAGCCACAAGATATTGGAAACGTGATAGAAAATGTGTAGTTCTGTACCTAATTGTGGTTGGGTGTGTTTAGTTGGTGGATGGAGTTTTCTGATGGTACTCCAGATGGAAATAGCTGGGCTCAAGTTTCATTGCTTCAAATCACAGCGGACATCATTAACATCAACCAAACACTAGCAATATCCTTGATAAAACCTGTATGGGGAGCTGCTGTTTTCACTGGTTCATGATATGTCCATATTAGAATTGCAGCTTACAAAACACTGCTGTTGAAATCTCTTTTGTTAGGCCACCTGGGGTTTGATGGTGAAGTCCTGGGTGTGTGGTCTAGTTCATAGTTCCATTTTCCTAGAACCTAGTGCCTGTTCAAGGGTAAACTCCAGAATCAGGAGACTTTTGATGAGCTTCTTTCTTTTTTGTTTTGAAGATTTATTTCTTTTGCACTGGAAAGTCAGCTCTACAGAGAGAAGGAGAGACAGAGAGAAAGATCTTTCATCTGCTTGTTCACTACTCAAGTGACAATGACCAATCTGAAGCCAGGAGCCAGGAGCTTCCTCTGGGTCTCCCACACAGGCATAGGGTCTTGTGGTCAAGGCTTTGGGCCATCCTTGACTGCTTTCCCAGGCCATAAGCAGGGAACTGAATGGGAAGTGGAGCAGCCAGGACACACACTGGCCCCCTCTGACATCCTGGTGCATGCAGAGAGTGGATTTTAGCTGCTAGGCAATTGTACCAGTTTTTTTCTAGATTTATTTATTTTTATTGGAAAGGCAGATCAGACTTACAAAAAGAAGGAGAAGCCTGAAGAAAGAGCTTCCATCTGCTAGTTCACTTCCCAAATGGCTGCAATACCTGGATATGAGCATGATCCAAAGCCAGGTGTCAGAAGCCTCATCTGAGTCTCCCATATGGGTGCAAGGTCCCAAGGTTTTGAGCCATCCTCTATGGCTTTCCCAGTTGGTAAGCAGGGAGCTGGATGGGAAGTGGAGCAGCCAGGACATGAACCAGCACCCATATAGGATCCTGGCTGCTGAAAGGTGAGGGTTTAGCCATTGAGCCTTTGTGCTTGGCCCTCAGTGTACTTTCTTTTGAAAGGCCTCTAGCAAGCAGTTTAATGGTCCCTGGCATTTCTACCTGTGAAGTGTGCATATGTACAGACACCTGGAGGCCTCCTTGTTGACTCTTGTCTACTTATCCTTGCCCTGGAGGTTGTGTGAAGCAATGCATTTGTCTAATTTTAAGTGTCTGCATGTGTGTGTGACAGTTTAGTGTTTAGGAATAGCAGGTGATTTCATCACAGCTTTTTGACAATGTCTGTAGCAATAATCTTCCCAGAGAGTTATGAAGGAACTGTGCAGGTTCCAAGTTCTACATTCAAACATATTTCAAAAACGTTTTGTGGAAAACAGAACTAAAACATCCATTTGTTTTGGTGAAAATTTTTTGAAATGCAAAGACTCTGCAAAAAGATCATGGAAAATGACAATTATGAAAAACATCACTTAGGCTCATTTAATTCCATCTTTTATGAATTTTTTGAGATACCACCAGATCTTGCTTCATTTTATAAAACCTACAAGACCTTGTACTTCAGTTTTGTTTCTTTCCTCTTCTCTCTCCTTTACTCACACATTTGGCTGGTGCCAAACAAGATAAAAAAACATAAAAATATTTGATAAAGTTTTATGCAAAATGTTAGTGATGGAATGGAAAGTGATGTTACTGGTGTTTACCGTTACTTGGGCTATTAGCTGTCATGGTACCCTACTGACCTTGATTTCAGGGATTCACATGGTGATGGGCAGGTTTGATGCCACAGGGATTACTCTTGGTAAGACACTCTGTTCTGCCAGTGTTCATGTGAGGTGAGGAGTGGAAACTGATTCATCAGAACAAGCTCTGGCCTGTATAGCACAGAGAACAATGTTGTTGAATAGCAGTACTTTACCAATGAGCAAGTCTGTTCCAAGGAAAACCAAAATTAGAAATTTACCTCATTTCACATGCAATTTTTGTCTTAGATGATTCATGAAATCTTCCAGGTCAGATGCTTTCTGACTGATCTAGTCAAGCTGTTCTCCAGCTGCAATTCATGGGCCCTTTGATGTTTGATTCTCCAGGTACATGAGTTTTTTGTTTTTTTGCCTCATGCTTTCATTCTCTTGTGGCTGTCTACAGGTCTGTTTCCTACACACGTCCTGGCATGTTGGAAGGACTACTTTGTATCCAGCTTTTTGTTGTTGTTGTTTTGTATCCAACTATTGCCACTGATTTTTGAGCCTACTTTCTGGTGCTCAAGAAGGGAAGAAGTTTACCATAACTCTTTTATAGGACATGAATAGCAAGAGGTTCTCATATTTCTTGCCAAGTGCCAGTTTCAAGTTTGCTCTTTTGGTTCTAGTTCCAAGTTTTGCATTTTTTGATTCTATGCTAGATAACTGCCCCACCTCCCCTCATCTTTGCTAAAACTCTAGCTGGGGAGAGGAGGGGGACCACTTAAAGCAAAAGTGGCATCAGGAACTTGGAAGTTTGAAACCTAGAGACCCTGGGCCCAACTTGTGGAACACAAAGTGACTCATGCGAGTCATTTCATCATGAGTGGAGGATTTACAACCCTCTGGACATGTGATTTGAAAACCTATGTGTTTAAGCTTTGGGTTCACTTTGGTAGTTAGGTGATGTGAGTTGACAGAGGAACTGCTGAGCTAAAGTGCCTTCTGGCTGCACTTGGAACACAGGTTTAATGACCCTTCTCTGTTGGACTGTGACTGTTCCCTTAATAATTACTTGAAACTACTTGTTCTCAAGTGCAAGTTTGTAATGTAATGGTCCACAATGTCACAACTGTATGTGACAAATCATTCAACTTTTTTTCTCATAGGGTTTGGTTTTTGAGTAAATTTTGCAGCTTGCTGTTAAGCATGTGGTAGGAGTATTACAATGTATCTTCAGATAGGAACTACAGTTTTGAATTTAGTCTTTTAGACAAGATTTATCTACTATTTTTTTATTGTGAAAGCAGATATACAGAGAGGAAGAGAGACAGAGAGGAAGATCTTCCATCCAATGGTTTACTCCCCAAGCAGCCACAACACCTGGAGCTGATCCAATCCACAGCCAGGAGCCAGGAGCTTTTTTGGGTCTCCCATGTAGGTGCAGAGTCCCAAGGCTTTGGGCCATTCTTGACTGCTTTCCCAGGCTACAAGCAGGTAGCTGGATAGGAAGCAGGGCTACCAGCACGTTCAAGGCAAGGACGTTAGCCACTAGGCTATCATGCCTGACCCTGAATTTAGTTTTCTAAAAATAGAATATTTCATACAAATTTTTAAAAAGAGAATCCTTCTTAAAAGGAGCTAGAAAGGGCATTCCATGCTACTGTGGTTCTGCTCGACATGAGGTCGGTGGACAAAAGCCCTAAATATGGTGCTGGTGGCCTCCATGGCTTCTGACCATGTTTAGGAATTTAGGTTTTGTTATTTTAATTTGTATTCATTCTGCTTTAAAGTATGACTACCGAAAACCATCATGATCTTTGAGTTTTATTCTCCAATTTGTTTCGTTTTTATAGGTCTGTTAGTTTCCAGACTGGCAATGTGACATCACATTGTAACATTACATTGTCTAGGAAATAAAAAAATGAAACAGAAAAAGCTTGGAGGAATCTCTTTTTAAAGAATGACTCATTTGCTAATGCAAGCCAGGATTTTCTAACATACAAGTTTCAAATGTTTAGAAGGGTTTTCGATCAAAATTTTTAAACCTGGTTAATTTTTATTTTAAATTTAATTTTCAGTTAGTAATGTCTTCACATTGTTCAAAGATGAGAAAATGTCAGTGTTCAAGAGAAGTCATGCTCCCCCCATTCTATCACATATCTGATCCTCTTAACTTCTATATGCCATAGATTTCTCACACTCGTTCTTAGCCAAAAGGCCTAGAAGTGATGCATAGATGCATAGATTTTTCAATGCAAACACACATGCGACAAATACATATATATATATGGCTTTAAAATAGATATTTCTTGAAAGAAAAAATAGACAATGTGAAACTCTTATTTCTTATTTAGTTTTGAATGGTTTTGTAAAAGCCTCGAAATATAGATACTGTTCTAAAATTAGAATACCTTTATGAGCTATATGGACTAGGTACTTGTGAACAGTGGAAATTGTTTGCTAATAAACAGCACTTTGTTTAACAACTTCTTTCTGGTTACTCAGTGATGCATGTTCAATGTGGGATATTTGGGAAAGACAGTAACTCACAGAGCAGAAGACCCTGTCCATCCAAGATTCCATTTTGGTGTGCCACCTTTTCCCCGACTCTGTATTTGTCCTTGACCTTCCTTGTCTCTTTAAAGATTTATTTTTTATTATTTTTCATTGGAAAGGCGGATATACAGAGAGGAGAGACAGAGAGGAAGATCTTCCGTCCGATGATTCACTCCCCAAGTGAGCGCAACGGGCCGATACTATGCCGATCCGAAGCCAGGAGCCTCTGCCGGGTCTCCCACGCGGGTGCAGGGTCCAAAAGCTTTGGGCCGTCCTCGACTGCCTTCCCGGGCCACAGGCAGGGAGCTGGAAGGGAAGCAGGGCTGCCGGGATTAGAACCGGCGGCCATATGGGATCCCGGGCGTGCAAGGTGAGGACTTAACCACTTACGCCACCGCGCCGGGCCCCTTCCTTGTCTCTTTAAATGGGCTTACCCAGCACACCCCCAGGCCAGCATCCCAGAGTCATGGTCATTTCTGGTACCTGCCCTTCTGTCCGTTTCCAGCCTGCTGCTCTCTGGCAGCTTCCTCCCATCATTCTGCCTCCCTTCCTCCAGGACCCTCCTTCCCACGGCCTGCCATGCCCCTTGTCTACATCTTTCCAGCATCAACATTGCCCCTCACTCCCTCTTCTCCCAGTGTAGAGTCTGTGTGTCATCACCCAACTCCCTCTGGCACCACACCCTGATCTTTCCCTCAGGCCTGCACTGGTGGCAGAATCCCAAGCTGGGTTGGTTCTGTGTGTCTGATGGCATTCCTGGATGTGGCTGGTATGACA